CACCCACCTCCCTGCCACCCCTCGCAGCCAGTTCTCTCCCTCCCACCCCCACTCCCAGCCCATGATCAAGTGTGTCCAGTTTTTTGGCAGGGTCTACCTGGCAACCCTACTTACAGGGGAACATCAGGAATCCTACCAGGGAACAGGCTAGACCTTTACTAGTGATTATGAACTTAAGGCAGCAATTCTAGATTGACTAGGGCTCTGTGACGGGGTATATCAACCCTGCACTGAAGAACAGGGAGTGACCTGGGCCCAGCTGTCTGAAAGAGCCCTGCCCACACAGCCCTGCTGGGCATACTCCTGGTGGAACCAGACTATAAAAGGCCCTGGGCAGCTCAATCTGAGCTGACTGCTGACGGGGAAGGAGATTCTGGGGTAGCCCCAGAAAGAAAGAGGGACCAGACCTTCCAGCGAGAAGTGCTATCTGCAGGGCCACTGGATTGCGGGGAGACGATGGGGAAGACATCTGCTGGACCCTGGTAGAAAGTAGCCCGGGGTGGGGAGTTTACCTGGAGTGTTCAGTGTGTTGCTGCAGAATTTCCCACTGAGTGAGGCAGTGGCCCCAGCCACTGCCTACAGGGTCCTGGGCCGGGACCCAGTGGAGTGGGAGGACCCGGGTCCCCCTATCCATTCTATAGCTGGCTCGAGGGAGAGAACTGGACCTATAAGTCCGTGAACTAGGCCTCAAGGCTGTAGTATCCCTGCTATAAGGGCCCATGTGTGGACTTTGGCCTCTGGGGTGTATTGCCCCTAGTAAGAGGGGATGAGGAATGGACTCTGGCTGTCAGGCCATATGAACTCTGCTATAAGGGCCTGGGTATGGACTTCGGGGGTATATTACCCCCAATAGGTGGGGATTGAGGAATGAGCTCTGGCCACTAGGCCATAGTAACCCTGCTATAAGGGCCCATGTGTGGACTTTGGCTGCGGGGCCATGTTACACCCCTCAGGGGGAATGCATGTAAGGACCCCAGTGAGTAGGCCACAAGGAAGACTAAGCTTGAGGAACCTTCCAGAGCAGGTTGCCCCTCGACGAGCTCTAAGAGGATGGCTACCACTGGTAGTAGAGAGCAGAAAATTCTGTACCAGGTACTTGATGTCAGGCAGTAGCAAAGTGATTTCTGAATTTCTGTAATGGGGGTTAAAGAGGATTTGTACTCAACAGGGGATGAACTGGAGTTGATAATGTTTGCAGCACCAAAAAGTATTGTTTTGACTGGCAACAATTTGTGGATGCATTGCCACCAGAATGTCAGCTTAATGGATGCAGTATGCCTGGTAGAGAATTTCTCAGTGGTCAAACTGAACTGTGGGTTTGTGCCACAGGGTAGGAAATAGGGGTCAAGGTATCTACCTGGAGCAAGATTGATTCGGCCTGTTTGTAAAGGACCTTCAGTATGGGAGGGACAACCTATGGATACCACTTAAAAGACTTTCAGTGGGCCAGGAATTTTGTCACTAAGCGGCACCATGCACCCCTGGGTAGGACAGTTCCTGGAATTTTGTTGAGGCACAAATCAAACACTGATTTAAGCTCTGTAGTATGCATCTAGTGTTCCCAGGAGCACTGGACAGGTGACTAGTACTACATTTAGGACAGTAAGCCCCTGATTTGTTTTCTATATGGACTGAAGAGCCAAATCTATCAACCTGCCACTTCACTGTGCTAGGTGATAGCCTGGACCATTAAGGGACAGAATCATATTATGCTGAACCAGAGGAATTTAAGATTCCAGTCATTCAATGGAGGTAAAGTTCAATAACTGGTAGATTCAGTTCTGGTCAGACATTCATGCAGGAGCTGCTGTGAAGTAAATGCATAGTAGACTGACAGATGCCTACAGGTAATCAACATTTTTCAAATTTTGAAAAAAATTATGAACATTTCTCCCCATTTTTAACCAGTTAGGGTACGTCTACACTACAACGTTAATTCGAACTAACTTAGTTCGAATTAGTTAATATGAACTAAGCTAATTCGAACTAACGGATCTAGACTAAAAAACTAGTTCGAATTAGCATTTTGCTAATTCGAACTACCATGTCCACATTAAGTGGACCCTGAACCAGGTTTAAGGATGGCCGGAAGCAGTGCCGGCAGGGCATCAGAGGAGGACTTAGAGCGTGCAGATGCTGTCTCAGGCGAGCCGAGGGCTGTGCTTAAAGGGTCCCGACCCCCACCCCGGACAGACAGTTCTCAGGGGTGCCCCGCTTGAAAACCAGTCCTGGCTTGGAGTGCCCGGAGTACCCACACTGGGCACATCACAGTACTCGGCCATCAGACCGGCTGCACTTGCAGCAGGCTGCCATCTGGGGAGAGGGCGCAATCGGGGGGCTGCAGGAGAGGTTCCACCCCAAAAGCCCGCAGAGCCAGCCCAGTCCTCCCCATCGGGGGCGTGTACCCCATTCCTCCCTCACCTCCTTCCACTTACCCTTCCCTAGCCCCTTTTCTTGATGTACAAAATAAAGGACAATTGTGTTCAAAAATGGAATCTGTCTTTATTGAACAAAACTGGGGGAGACTGGGAAAAGGAGGTGGGAGAGGGGAAGAGAGAGGCTGGGAGAGGAGAGGGCAACTAAAATGATCAGGGGTTGGGAACAGGTCCCATATGAAGAGAGGCTAAAGAGACTGGGACTTTTCAGCTTAGAAAAGAGGAGACGGAGGGGGGACAGGATAGAAGTCTCTAAAGGCAGGAGTGGGGTGGAGAGGGTGCATACAGAAAAGTTCTTCATTAGTTCCCAAAAAAGAAGGACTAGAGGACACCAAAGGAAAGGAATGGGTAGCAGGCTTCAAACTAGTAACAGAAAGTTCTTCTTCACAAAGCAAAGAGTCAACCTGTGGAACTCCTTGCTGCAGGAGGCTGTGAAGGCTACAACTAGAACAGAGTTTAAAGAGAAGTGAGATAAAGTCATGGAGGTTGGGTCCATGGAGTGCTATTAGCCAGGGGGTAGGAATGGTGTCCCTGCCC